GAGTCACCCCAGCAGCATCTGTAATCTCTGTGTGAGTTGCTGTTCTCAGGACACCTCCCAACCGGAAAGAGGGAAGCGTGAGGAAGAGACATGCAGAGATGCAACGGGAACCCTCCTTTGAGGGCAGAGAATTGTCCCAGGTCGGGAGTGAACACGCACCTCGGCCGCACCTGCCGCTCTGCAGAGACTGACTATAAAAGAGTTAGTCAGTGCAGAGAATCGTGCAGAGATGCAGCGGGCAGCCTCTGGGATCACAGGCATCACATTTTTTTTTAATTTTAAAAAATTTATTTAATTCGGTTTGTATCCCCCGCCCTCCCCGCAAACGGGCTCAGGGCGGGTTACAAAGTCACAGAATCACAACAATAGTTAAAATAATTAAAACAGTAGTTAAAAAAATGTTTCATTACACTCGTGTGCCCCACACATATGTGGCTGGGCAGGTCTCCTGGCCACTACCCACCGGGTAAGCACCCTTCCATGTCACGCCGTGTGGTTGCGTAACGTATTCTGGGGGGAAACTGGAAAAACTGGGGGGGACGGAACCCACAGCCCTCCCGGCTCTATGGGTCCTGTGTTGACTGCCCCAACATCAGCACCAGCTACACCCCCTCTGGATCTAAAGTAAGCCTCTATCAATAGCAACAGCATAAGGGAAGCTATGTTGGATGAGGCCAGTGGCCCCACCAGTCCAACACTCTTGTGTCCCACAGTGGCCAAAACCCAGGGGCCGTCAGGAGGTCCACCGGCGTGGACAGAACTCCAGAAGCCCTCCCCCTCTTGGCCCCCAAGCCCCAAGAAGACAGAGCATCCCTTGCCCCAGACATAAGAACATAAGAGAAGCCATGTTGGATCAGGCCAGTGGCCCATCCAGTCCAACACTCTGTGTCACACAGTGGCCAAAACCCAGGGGCCGTCAGGAAGTCCACCAGCAAGGCCAGAACTCCAGAAGCCCTCCCACTGTGCCCCCCCAAGCCCCAAGAAGACAGAGCACCCCTTGCTCCAGACATAAGAACATAAGAGAAGCCATGTTGGATCAGGCCAATGGCCCACCCAGTCCAACACTCTGCGTCACACAGTGGCCAAACCCAGGGGCCATCAGGAGGTCCAGCAGCGGGGCCAGAACTCCAGAAGCCCTCCCACTCTTGCCCCCCCCCAAGCCCCAAGAACCCAGAGCATCCCCTGCCCCAGACATAGTGTTCCATCTATACCTTGTGGCTATTAGCCACTGAGGGTTGTTAGTCCCCCATCCACCAAGAGACAAATAAATCAGCTATTTGATACTGGCTGCAAAACGACAACCCTTTCGCTACCCCTCAGCCTCTCCTCGGCAGACCCATCTTCCCCAAAGACGTCTGTCAAGTGAGCCCAAGTCCCTTGAACGCCCCCCCCCCCGGCGCTCCTTCCGTGCGGGTTAAAGAAGCGACTTACATTTGACCATCACTGCGGTCCTGTTAAACATCGTCTTGGGGAAGACGAACAAGTGCTCGCTTGGGCTCTGGGAAGAGAAGAACAAAGGGAAGATAGGTGAAGAGGGATACGCGGCATTTTTTTTAAAGCATCCACATCAAAAAAGGGGGGGAAATGCTGTTAAGTGACCTCCACGCCCGAGAGGAGAACCATAGAATCACAGAATGTTAAGAGTTAGAAGGGACCTTGCAGGTCATCTAGTCCAACCCCACGCACTCTGCAGGAGCGTAGCCGAAAGAGAGCCCTACAACATACCCAACAGATGGTCGTCCAGCCTCCGCTTGGAAACGTCCAGCGAAGGAGCCTCGACCCCCTCCCGAGGCAGTCTGTTCCACTGCTCAGCCACTCTTACAGTTAGGATGTTTCTCCTGATATTTAGCCGGTAACGACGCCCTTGTAATTCCCACCCATTAGATCTAGTCTTGCAATCCGGAGCAAGAGAGAATAGATCTGCTCCATCTTCTACATGACGGCCCTTCAAATACTTGAAGACTGCAATTGTGTCCCCTCTAAGCCTTCTCTTTCCCAGGCTAAACAGACCCAACTCTTTCAGCCTTTCCCCATAAGACTTGGACTCCAACCCTCTCACCATCCTGGTTGCCCTCTTCCAGACACGCTCGAGCTTGTCAACATCCTTCCTAAAATGTGGTGCCCCAAACTGGACACAGGACTCCAGGTGAGGCCTGATCATAGGAGAATAGAGCGGAACAACCACCTCCCGTGATCTGGACACAGTGCTTCTGTTAATGCATCCTAAGATTGCATTCGCTTTCTTCGCAGCCACATCACACTGCGGGCTCGTGTTTAGCTTGTGATCAACCAGAACACCCAGTTCCCTTTCACATGGACCGGAGAGACTCGGTTTACTTCCCACAATGAGAAAAGATACCTTGACACATCTATCTGCTATTCTGACATATTTATCGCTGGACAACTGTGAGCCTTCTAACCTTAGTTTTGTCTTTGCACATCTTCATCGTGTTACATGTTAATTTGCTATAACCCCCGGTCTATGAGTGTGACCGTTAGCTACCATTCCGATGTATTTGAAAAAGTGCGCATGCACATGAAAAGCATGCACACCTTGAGCAGAAAGGAAGGAAGGCAGTGAAGAGGGGCAGGGAGCAGCCATTTTTCCATACACAACCTTCTCTCCTCCCACCCACCCGAGTTTGGTCTTTGGCATCTTTGATCAAACAAAGATCTCGGACAGCGAAACTTGGGAAAGGATTTTTTCTTTGCCTTGAGACTCCGGAGAGCCACCACTAAACAGGACTGATGCACTAAGAGACGACGCGGTAAGAAACTGCTCCGTATGTTCGCACCGGGAAGCCCCGAGTTCGAATCACGTGTCAGATGCTAGCTCGCCAGAGGTCCTCAAGGCTGGACTGGCAGTGGCGTTCCCTCTAAGCTGAGTCAGTGTGAGCTAGCTCACAGTTTTTTTAGCCTCTGGCTCACCCATTTATGTCACAGCTCAGGAAGGACGGGGCTCCAGAGCAAACCGATTTACGCAGCAGCCAAATCGCTTGCTCACAACTTTCATGCCAGCGGCTCACAAAGTAGAATTTTTTGCTCACAAGACTCAACAGCTTAGAGGGAGCTTTGGCCAGTGGCTACCTAAAGCCTTAGAAAGAGGAAAGCCCCGTCTCTCCCTCACTCTCTGGAGCGGCCAGAAACAGAACCCAGAATCTCCTGCTCTGCTTTGGCGTCCAAGGGCACAATCTCTGGCACTTGGAGGTCTTTCCGCCACAGTTTCCTGTACCAAAGAACCGGGGAAATGGAGTGGCACTGAGAACAGGACACTCAGATCCGACTTATCCCAAACCATCCCACCTACATGGAGACACAGGGTCTATCGGTCTCAGGCTGAGGTCTGGTCCCAGCTCCCTGCCAGCCCAGCAGTTCGAAAGCAAGAAATTGTAAGTAGACAAATAGGTACTGCTTCAGTGGGAAGGTCACAGCGTTCCGTGCGCCTCGGCGTTTAGTCATGCCGATGTCTTCGGACAGCGCTGGCTCTTCGGCTTTGAAACGGAGATGAGCACCGTGACCCTAGAGTCGACTGGCTTTCAAGCAAGGGGGAAACCTTTACCTTACTGCCTGAACCTTCTAACTGGAGATGCCAGGAATTGAACTGGGGACCTTCTGCCTGCCACGCAGAGGATCTACTGCTGAGCCAGGGCCCCTCAACAAAAGGATCCTTGGTCCATCAATATCAGCACTGTCTACTCCGACTGGAAGCAGCCCTCCAGGGTCTCAGGCGGAGGTCTTTCCCAACACCTCCTGCCTGACCCTTCTAACTGGAGATGCCGGGGACTGAACCGGGGACCGAACCGGGGACCTCCTGCATGCCACAGTCCATCTTTACAGCTCTCCAGGGTCTCAGGCGGAGGTCTTTCCCATTGTCTACTGCCTCGCACTTCCAACTGGAGATGCTGGGGATTGAACCTGGGACCTTCTGCATGCCAAGCAGAGGCTCTGCCACTGAGCCACAGCCCCTCTTAACAGCTCTCCAGGGTCTCAGGCAGAGGCCTTTCCCATCACCTCCTGCCTGGTCCTTTCGAACTGGA